CAGAGCGGGGACAAGATCAGTTTTGCCCTTTAGAAAGAGTCCTCTGGCAGCGGTGTGTAGGAGGGAGTGCAGGGGGAAAAGGCCAGTGAGGAGCCCCCAGCAAGGGTGCTGGCAAGAGGGGCTACTGAAAGCTTTAGGGGGTAAATGGGTTGGTATAGGAGCCTCTGAGACCACAAGAGAAGGGTGGAGTGTTCTTAGCTTTAGGAAGGACATAGGTAGGGAGGGGTTGAGTGGTCATGGGGTTGGAGGGACCTGCCCATGCAAACCCCAGATATAGTTCATTTGGCCCCTTTGCGACCATCAATACTGTGCATAATGCCCCAGGCACTGAAGGTTGATGGTACAGAGAGGCAGAATTGGGCAACCTGTCATCTCAGGTGCTCGAGCTGATGCCATGAGGCTGCCTATGCAGACCACACTCAGCTACCTGGGCCAGTTCAGGACCCGGACCCATACACGAAGCTCAAACCCTTCCTCTGGGCTCAGTTTCTGCCTGTCAGGGAAACATATGCCCCTCTTTGTCCTGCCAGCTCCCTGCTGGGGTTTTGAGAACAGAAGCTGCAGCAGCCCAAACTTGGGAGAGGCAAGGGGCAGGGAACATTTGCATGAGGTTGATCATGACAGGTTAGAAATGGCAGTTCCCTCTTTGGGGAACGAGGCCCCAGGGAGAGCTGCTGTGAGTTGACAATCAAAGATTCCCCAGGTAGAGCAGGAGATGGTCCCAGGAGACAGTCCTGGGAACACCTCATTTCCAACTAGGTCTCTGGGCATTGAGCTTGTCTGGAGACCACACACATTCCAGGGAAATAGTGGGGCAGAGTGGCATACAATCAGCCCCAACCTATGGCAGGTTCTTCTTCCCTGAATCTCAGAGAAGGTAGTACTGCATGTTTGTAATGCACCGTACAGCTCATAAAGCACCTTCGCAAACATTATCCTCTGTCACTGTCATGATCAATGTGATCACTTCTGAAGTTTGCGCCTGCCCACATCCAGGCATCTGGTGTAGCCCCCTTGCCTAGATCTCTAATCTCGCTATTGGCACCTTCCTTCACCATATCAACATACTCAGGTTTCTACCATGCTTAATTTAAAATTAGAAAAGAGCCTTTGGATCCCAAACCACCTTAAACTACTGTCTTCTCTGACCTTCTCTTTTAGCAGAGAACTCTCCCGTCTTTCCCTCCAGATCCGTCTACTCCTCTAGTCTGGCTTTGCTATTCACCACTTTTCTGAAGCCATTCTCTCATAGACACCAGTGAGGTTTCCACCTGCCAAATCCAGGATACACCTCCCAATCCCAATTTTACCTGGCCTCTTTTTACTACTGGGAGCTGCTCCCACATTCTCGAAGCCCCCCAGCTTGGTTTGCAGGGCCTGCCTTCTTCTGGCCTCCGTCTTGAGTCCACACTGCCTCCCAGACTTCCGGGGCTCTGCCCCCCCCCTCCCCCAGCTCGATGCTGGGCTCCACCCACACCACCCTTGAATGCTGACCACCCCAGTCTCTCTTTCCATCCAGTAGGTGAGAGAGATCTTTCTCTGGTCCTTCCCAAAGTACCTGTTTCCCCAAACAGTCTCCCTCTGTTTTGTTAAGGGTGTCACATCCACCCTGATGCCCCAGCTGAGATTCCTCCCTTGCCCCCACCATTGAACCCCATCTCCGTGAAGTTTTGCCTTTTCTTCCTCCCAACCCTGCCCAGGCCTTCCCACTGGTTTCAGGCTTCAGGCTACTCAGCCTTCATCCTTCTAGTCCCCAGCTGCTCCCTACACTGGACCCAAGGATGCTGAGAAGGGGATCATGCTTAGGGTGGGAGGGGGATTTTTGAGTTGAAGGGTAGCTGGGCTGGAGTATGTGGGGAGTGGGGGCAGTGCAGGAACTAGAGTGAGGCATGAGAGGTAAGAAAGCACTCACTCTCAGGGTCCTGCATTTACTGATACTGCACTTAAATTACTAGGTGCATCCCTGGCCTCACCCTAGTCTCAGCCCTGCATGTGGGGACAGACTGGCTCTAGGGAGGGAGGTGGTACAGTACTCTTCTCCACCCCTGGGGGGCAGATGCTGAGAGAATGGAATTTTACAAAGGCAGTGGGGACTGGCTTGGTGGTGAACTTCCCAACCACTTAAAGCTGTAATTCCAGGTGTGGTAGCCAAAAGACTCCTGAAGGGCAAGATTTTTGTCAGGATCCCCTGGTCTGGGGCCTAATAGCAAGGCCACGGCATGAGAATAGGTATCTGGGTAGAAGACAGCCTGAGGGGCACTGAGGTGCCACCTGGACCCCTTCATCTTCGTAGAGAAGGAGGGCTCCTTGCCTGGTTTCTCATGGGAGTAGAGGGTAAAAGCCTGAAGGGTGCCCCTGCCACCTCTGACAAACGTATTTGAGGGTCTACAAGCACGGCTGGCACTGCCTGGTGCCTTTGCCTCGCTAGATTATGCGGATCTCTGGGGCAGGTGTTTCCAGGTGTGGATTTGAGACAAAAGAACCAGGAAGCGGGGCCTCCCAGAGCACAGGTAACCCGAGGCCCTGTCGCCCTGCTTGCGCTGCTCCCCCTGCTCTTGTGGGCTGGCCTTAGGGGAGGGAGGGGGGGCGCACGCTCACGGAAGGGCTCAGAGAACTTCGCGGTTCAGGGTCCATAGAGAACGGGGGGAGGCAGTAATCCAGGAAGTCTTCCCGGTGGCAGTGAATTCTTAGTGGGGGATCGGCCGCGCGGAATCCCCTGCGGGCGCAGCTGGGTGCAGAAGCCCCGCCCCTCGCCCCGCCCACCTGTGGGAAACACTGGCCCGGAGGGAGGCAAGGCCCGCGCCCGCAGCCGGCTGCACCTCGTCCTCTGCCCCGGCCTCAGCCAGCGCCCGGGCTTCTGCAGAGGTATTGACCGTGGCAAAGGGGCCCCTCGTGCGGCCGAGTTGGGGAGACCTCGGGAAGATTCCTTCGCCAAGCGCGACTGCCGCGGTCCCCGGCCGTCTGCGGGGGGTGGGGCGTGCCTGAGGTGGCGCCCACAGGCGACCCACGGGCGCGCGGCAGCTGCAGCTCCCGCCTTCCCGCACCGAGACCTCGGTCCTCTCCAGCGCCCGCCGCCTCGGGGCGCCTGACACGCGGCAGCTCCACGAGGTAGGTCCTTCATTCCTCCCATTTCGCAGAGGAGAAAACTGCAGTCCGGGATGGCTCAGTCGGCCCGTCCAAAGTCGCACAGCTGGTTCGGGCCGAGCCCCGACTGCGAGAGTGAGGCACATGGCCCCTGCAGACCGGGCCTCGGAGGGTCCCAGGCTTGAGGACCCGTCGGCCCCCCACCCCCTTGGAAAGGCAAGGAGAGGAGCCTGCGCTGGTAGTGAGCCTCCACTTCTTCCCTTGACTGCAACACCCTAGGTTAGGGGCCCGGGAAGGACCTCCCCCCACCCACACTCACAGTATTTGGATAGGGGTGGGTTCTCTCCCTCTCTTAATTTCTGAGGGTCCCTGTTGAATTCGGGTATTATTGTCCCCTTCCAGCCTCCTATCCCCAGCCCATGCGGTTGGGTAGTAGGTGCCCAGACCCAAGGTCAAGAACACCTAAATTCTGAGGGCTGCAGTGAAGAACTAGGGCTCATGGAGGAGGTGGGGTTGAGGCAGGAGCTGAGGAGAGGAATGCAAAGCTGGGAGGGAATGTGCATGGTGCCCTGGGGCCTGGGCTTCATCAGGTGGGCAACAGGCACCCTGTTACCAAGCTGTCCTCTTACCCCGGCCCCACTCCTTCACCCTGGGTGTCTGGGAACGCATGTGCCCATTAGAGGGAAGGGGACACCAGAGGGTGGGGCGCAGGTGGTGCTGGGGCTGACTTGGCTGGGGTGGTGGGAGTAGGGGTGGGACTGACCTATCTTTGTCTTCCCACCTGTGCCCACAGTGTCCCCTTGGCTTAGTCATGGCGAAGCTGGAGACACTGCCTGTGCGTGCTGACCCAGGGCGGGATCCTCTCCTGGCCTTTGCCCCTCGGCCCTCTGAGCTCGGACCCCCAGACCCTCGCCTGGCCATGGGCAGTGTGGGCAGTGGGGTGGCCCATGCCCAGGAGTTCGCCATGAAGAGTGTGGGCACCCGCACAGGGGGCGGGGGCAGCCAGGGCAGTTTCCCCGGCCCCCGCAGTAGTGGTGGTGGGGCGAGCAGGGAGAGGCCAGGCCGCTACCCCTCAGAAGACAAGGCTCTCGCCAACTCCCTCTACCTCAACGGTGAGCTGCGGGGCAGTGACCACACTGATGTCTGCGGCAATGTGGTGGGCAGCAGTGGTGGCAGTAGCAGCAGCGGTGGCAGTGACAAGGCCCCACCACAGTATCGTGAGCCCAGCCATCCGCCCAAGCTCCTGGCCACCTCTGGCAAGCTAGACCAGGTCAGTCCCCAGGGCCCTTTTCTGGGAGATGGGAGGCTGTCCAGAGAGGAGGATCAAGTGGGCCCTGGAGGTGGGGTTGTGGGGGCCAGAGGTTGGGCTAAGAAGCCATGGGGAGGGGTCTTGAGGGCCAAGTCTAGCTGGTGGTCCCAGGGCAGAGACTTGGTTTTCAGGTAGCGTGAGGTGGAGACCCAGCTTCAAGGGACCCTGAGGATGGAGATTAATTGGGGGCGGGGCTGAACGTGTCTCAAAGGGAAGAGGCTGGAGCCAGGGCTAAGGCCCCATTCTGATGCCTACTCCCCCTTGCTTGCTTTTACTCAGTGCTCAGAGCCGCTAGTTCGGCCTTCAGCCTTCAAGCCCGTTGTACCCAAGAACTTCCACTCCATGCAGAACTTGTGCCCCCCACAAACCAATGGTACTCCTGAGGGGCGACAGGGTCCTGGTGGTCTCAAGGGCGGACTAGACAAGTCTCGGACCATGACCCCAGCGGGCGGGGGTGGGGGCGGCCTCTCAGACTCCGGCCGGAACTCACTCACAAGCCTGCCCACCTACAGCTCCAGCTATAGCCAGCACCTGGCGCCCCTCAGTGCCTCCACCAGCCACATCAACCGCATCGGCACTGCCAGCTACGGTGGTGGCAGTGGCGGCAGCAGCGGTGGTGGTTCGGGCTACCAGGACCTGGGAACCTCCGACAGTGGGCGGGCCTCCAGCAAGAGTGGGTCGTCCTCCTCCATGGGTCGGCCAGGCCACCTGGGGTCTGGGGAGGGCGGAGGTGGAGGCCTGCCCTTCGCGGCCTGCTCACCACCCTCGCCCAGTGCTCTGATCCAGGAGCTAGAGGAGCGGCTGTGGGAGAAGGAGCAGGAGGTGGCAGCCCTGCGGCGGAGCCTGGAACAGAGCGAGGCCGCGGTGGCCCAGGTGCTGGAGGAGCGGCAGAAGGCGTGGGAGCGTGAGCTGGCTGAGCTGCGGCAGGGCTGCAGTGGGAAGCTGCAGCAGGTGGCCCGCCGCGCCCAGCGCGCCCAGCAGGGCCTACAGCTGCAGGTGCTGCGACTGCAGCAGGACAAGAAGCAGCTGCAGGAGGAGGCAGCCCGGCTGATGCGGCAGCGGGAAGAGCTTGAGGACAAGGTGGCCGCCTGCCAGAAGGAGCAGGCTGACTTCCTGCCCCGGATGGAGGAAACAAAGTGGGAGGTGCGGGCAGGGGGCTTGGGCTTTCCCCCTCTGAGTCTCCTTCCTTCTGTCCCTCCAGAGAAACCCAGAGCTGTGGCCCACTGTCACAGGGGAGTGAAGGGGAGGGAGACAAAAACGATTAGGAATGTCTGTGGGCACCAGAGCGGGCCCAGGGCTGTGTGAGCTGAGCCAGGTGTGTCCTGAGTCCGAGGAGGGCCCGGTGTGTCCTTCCTGAATGTCCCATGAGCTGACGCTGTGTCTGGGCATGCTGTGTGCCTCTGGGGCTGGATGTGGTGGCTGTGGTGCCAGCCAACAGGGCTCTGCCTTGACCCTGGCCCTCCTCGCCTCTGCCCCTGTGCAGGTGTGCCAGAAGGCAGGGGAGATCTCCCTCCTGAAGCAGCAGCTGAAGGACTCGCAGGCCGACGTGTCCCAGAAGCTGAGCGAGATCGTGGGGCTGCGCTCGCAGCTGCGGGAGGGCCGGGCCTCGCTGCGGGAGAAGGAGGAGCAGCTGCTCAGCCTGAGGGACTCCTTCGGCAGCAAACAGGCCAGCCTGGAGCTGGGTGAGGCCGAGCTGCCCGCGGCCTGCCTCAAACCTGCACTGACCCCTGTGGACCCGGCGGAGCCCCAGGATGCCCTGGCCACGTGCGAGAGCGACGAGGCCAAGATGCGCCGGCAGGCCGGGGTGGCCGCCGCCGCCTCGTTGGTTTCCTTGGACGGGGAGGCGGATGCTG